TAAAAGAGGCAAAATTGGGCAAAAATGATCTAGAAATGCATGTTTCAGGATTTATCAGATTCGAAATTTTCTGAATTTTCAAAAAAAAATCTATGAAAATCTTCATTTTTAGGCTAAAAAATCTGAAAAATGAGGGTTTCCAGTTTTTTTGGTGTCAAAATTTCAAATTTCCATAACTTTTTTCATATTCGACCTAGACTAATAAAAATAGTTCCATTCGATTTGCCTTGTTTTCAGCTTCAAAATGAGTATAAACGTGCCTAGGTTACTGTATCTTTCAGTAGTGGTGGGTACGGTAGCGAGCTTAACGGCGCATACGGAAACCTTACACTGCGCTCCTTTAATTTTTGAGCTACAGTAACCTTGCGTATGCTCATTTTGAAGCTAGGCCTTGAATGAAGAAAGTTATAGCATACTGTAGCTTAGTTCATTGCTCAGATTGAACAGAATTTCCAATTTTCAAAAAATCAATGTTTCCAGGTCCACCTCGTTGGCCGTAACGTTCTGGCGAACTACGATCAAGCTGGCGAAACGAAGCGTCTGATCGACCTGATCCTAGGTCGACCATGGTTCGAGATTAGTCGATACTTCCTCGCTTGCCTGTTCATGTGCAATATGGGAAATGTGATGGTTGATGAGGATCGAGAGCTCCCGCTGGAGGAACGAATCAATACCATGAAAATCACACTGATCCATAAGAATATGCACTCGGATCAGATTGCGAAGCTCTCGGCGCCCGATGAGTAGGCCTACTGTAGCCGTTGGACTGATAATTTATTGATCTAAATACTTGCTTTTTTTATGTTTAAAATGTGTGATTTTAAGCTGAAAAATGTGTATTTTCAGCCGAAAAATGCTGATTTTGGACCCCAAAATCTAGAATTTTAAGCCAAAATCTTTGATTTTTCGATTAAAAAATCTAAAAAATCGCCCCCAAAAACAAGGGCTTTCCTGCTGTAAAATGTGAATTTTAAGCCCGAAATCGTTGATTTTTCTAAATTTTAGTGATTTTTTGAGCCAAAAAATGGCGATTTTCGGCGAAACTTTCAGCGATATCTTCTGTTTTTTCGGCGACTTTTGAGCTAATTTTCGCCAAATTTTAAGCTAGAAATCTATGATTTTCAGCCGAAAATCTATGATTTTGATCTCAAAAATTCTGAATTTTAAGCCGAAAATTTTCGACTTTCCGGGCAAGAAATGTCGCTTTTTGGCGATTTTTCGGCCCAAAATTCTTGATTTTTTAACAATTTTTTAAATCAAAATTTACATTTTTTGGGACATTTTTCTACTTTTTCAGCTTTCACATCTCAATATTTAGATTGTTTTTCTCTACTTTTTTCCTTCAATTTCTAACATTTTTTGTCGCTTTTTAATGTATTTTTTGTTTTGAAAATCCTCAATTTCTGTGTGTGAAATTCCATTCAAATAATCCCATTTTTCCCGAATTTCCAGCCAAAAAATTCAAAATTTTTGGAATTTTTGGATTTTTTTAGAATTTTCAGAATTTTAAAAAAATTGAATTTTCAAAAAACTTCTAAAATTACCATTTTCAGCTTGTTTTTTTTGGCTGAAAATTCAAATTTTTTAGAATTTTCAAATCTGAAAAAATGCAAATTTCAGCTTGGCTGAATTTTTTGGCTGAAATTTGAAATTTTCGAAAAAAATGGAATTTCAAAAAAAGTCGTTTTCTTTATCTCAAAAATTTTTGTTTTCAGCATCATTTTTGGCTGAAAACCACGCCCATTCCAGTTACTTTTTCCATGTGAATCTCTCTTTCTCTGCGTCTCTCACTTTTACATGTGCTCTCTCTATCCCTCTCTAGATATCTCTCTGCTTATGTAACGACGGTTTTATTGATATCATTATTATTATCATTATCAAGATTATGATTAAATTGATTGCTCAGAATTTTGAATTTTAGAAAATTTGAAAAAATCGAAAATCGACAAAAAAGTCAAATTGGAGCTCAACTTGTAGGCATGATTGCTCAGAATTACTTAAATTTGAATTCAAAGTCCCAAATCATAGTTCAATGTTCCATGAGTCGCATATGCATTCATAAACTCGGCCCCAAATTCGATGGGCTGGGTGACGGACTGGACGACGTCGGAATTCAGAATCCTCTCGAACCACGCCGTCAATTTTGGGAATTTTTGAATTCCCGGAAATCCGCGAATCGGAAGATCGACGACGTCGTCGAGGCTGGCGGACCACCAGATTTTCTCGAAAAACGGGAATGTGAGATAGTCGGGGTAGCCGGGGGCGGAGCCTGGAACAATTTGAATTTTTGAATTTTTAAAATTTCAAAATTTTGACGTTTAAAAATTTTCGAATTTTCGGATTTTTGAATTTTCGAAATTTTGAATTTTTTGGATTTTTCGAATTTTTGAAAATTCGATTTTCGGATTTTTAATTTTCAAAATTTTTGAATTTTTTGAATTTTTGAAATTTCGAAATTTTGAATTTTTTGAATTTTCGAAATTTTCAAACAAACCTGCATAAAAATCATGGACCAACAAATTTTCAGCCTGTTGCAATACTTCAAAAACTTTTTCCTGTTTCTCATTTTTCAAATTTCGATCTCTCATCACTGCGAACAGTTGGGGGACAGCATGAGCGACCTGAAAATTTGAATGTCAAAGAGATGCAAATGCGCTCTAATGACAAATTTAGTGAAAACTGTCCCTGGAGCGCGTTTACACCAGTTTAGGCTGTGCAAGCGCGCTCTACTGCAATTTTTAGAAGTAATTAGCGTTAGAGCGCATTTGCAGCTTCTGAAATGTGGGAAAAGCGCCCTAAAGTACATTCGTCGTATCTTCAAGGGTGCAAGAGCGATCCACAGCTAATTTGATGAAAATTAGCATTGGGGCGCATTTGCAGTTTTCAATTTTTAGGTTTTCTTCCTAAATTTTCAATTTTCTCCTTGAATTTGCATTAGAGCGCTCTTGCAGGCTCGAAAAGTCGAAAATTCGAAAATCGCAAATGTGCTCTATCGCTAAAACTGATGTTACAGCGAGTAACGCTAATTTTCTCTAACGCTAATTTTCGCCCAAATTAGCGTTAGAGCGAAATTGCATTTTCTAAATTTTCTCATTAGAATTTTCAGATTCTTTTCCGAATATTTCAATTTTTTAAACGATATTCGCAACAGAGCGGTTTTGTCAAAAGTTCAAAAATAGCAAACGCGCTCTAATGCTAAAATGGCATTAGAGCACATTTTTATACTATTAAATGGTGTGTATGAGTAGAAAATGCGCTCCACTGTCAATTTTCATGTAAATTAGAATTGGAGCGCATTCGCTGTATTCCAGATGTGTCAAGTGCGCTCCAACGTTCAAAGAATTAAGGGAAGTTAGCATTGGAGCGCAATTCCGATATTGCAACTATCAATAGAGCGCACTTGACACGATTTGGTGTAAACAACTGCGCTCAACCGATAATAATAGAAAAATGAGCATTAGGGTTAATTTTGGCAAATAGCAAATGCGCTCTAACGTAAATTAGCGTTAGAGCGCAGTTTCTGCATTCCATATGTACAAGTTCGCTCCAGGGCGAACAACATAAGGGAAATTGGCATTGGAGCGTGTTTTTCAAATCTTGTTTTTGCAAAATGCGCTATGTTGACAATTCGTTACCATAGTCAATCTCTCAGCTAGCAGCTTCTGCTGAACCTTCTCAAATGGATCCGTCGGCAGAATTCTGGATTCGGGAAATGCGTCGTCCAAATATTCTGGAATGAATCCAGACTCGATCACAATTTTTCCGTCATGCTCGATGGCGGGCGCCTTTCCCTGATAGTGTTTAGAATAGAACCATTCCGGCTTGTCGGTCACATTTAGGTTGATCACTTCCGCTCTGGAATTTCAAGCTTTAGTTTGGTAAAATTGAAAATTAAGATGGGAAATTGAATTTGTCGGGTTTGAAGCTTTGAAATGAGCCTAAACATGATTAGGTTAGGTTTTGAATAAAGCGAGTTATGCTAAAATGAAAATTCGAAAAATACATTTATTGGTTCCAAAAATTTCAAATTGCCATAACTTTTTTAATTTGCGAGTAAACTCATCGAAATAGTTTTCATTCGACTTGTTTTGTTTTCAGCTTCCAAATGAGTATACGCAAGGTTACTGTAGCTCAAATATAAAACCAGCGAGATGTAAGGTTACTGAATGCGCTACTGAAAAATAAACCACTACTGAAAAATACAGTAACCTAGGCATGTTTATACTCATTTTGCAGCTGAAAACATGAGCAATCTAATGAGCTAAATTTCATTAGTCTAGGTAAAAAATGAAGGAAGTTGTGGCCTTTTCAAATTTTGACACTAATTTTTTTTCTCCCAAAATTTCAAATCACTATAACTTTCTTCATATTAGATCTAGACTGATGAAATGTAGACCATTTGATTTGTCTTGTTTTCAGCTTTCAATTGAGTATACGCAAGGTTACTGTAGCTCAAATATAAAACCAGCGAGATGTAAGGTTACTGAATGCGCCTTTTAGGTAGCTACAGTACCCACCACTACTGAAAAATACAGTAACCTAGGCATGTTTATACTCATTTTGCAGCTGAAAACATGAGCAATCTAATGAGCTAAATTTCATTAGTCTAGGTAAAAAATGAAGGAAGTTGTGGCCTTTTCAAATTTTGACACTAATTTTTTTTCTCCCAAAATTTCAAATCACTATAACTTTCTTCATATTAGATCTAGACTGATGAAATGTAGACCATTTGATTTGTCTTGTTTTCAGCTTTCAATTGAGTATACGCAAGGTTACTGTAGCTCAAATATAAAACCAACGAGATGTAAGGTTACTGAATGCGCCTTTTAGGTAGCTACAGTACCCACCACTACTGAAAGAAACAGTAACCTAGGCATGTTTATACTCATTTTAAAGCTGAAAACATGAAAAATCAAATGAGCTAAATTTCATTAGTCTAGGTTGAAAATGAAGAAAGTCATGGCATTTTTAAGTTTTGACACTAAAACATTTGGTTCCAAAAATTTAAAATTGCCATAACTCCCTTCATTCTAAACCAAACCTAGTCATGTTTATACTCCTTCAAAAGCTCAAAACACGCTAAATTCAAAATTTCAAATTTCGTACAGCACAACTCACTCGATTCCCTTCGCTGCAACATAGATCATGGCCCGTTCTGCCCATGGGCAGAACCGCATGTTGTAAATTCGGAATTTTCCAGAAGCCAGAGGTGGCTCCGGGTCCCCTTTACGGATTGCTTTGGAGGTGACACCCGTTAGTGTCATTTTCTGAAAAAAAATGGAATTTCAGAAAAAGTATATCAGTTGAAAAAATAATTTTCCGAAAAGAAATGTTTTTCTTATCAATTTTTTTCTATTGATAGTGATAAGAAATTATGTGATGCAACTAGTAAACAAAGAGAATATATCAAAAATTATGTAATAAGACCAAGAGAAAGAATTATGGAATTTTTTGAAAATTTGAAAAAATAGGAATTTTTGGAAAAATTCCACAAACCTTGCCTGGCCTAGGAAAATCTAGGCCACAGTCGGGAACACTTTCCAGTTCGAAATCTGGAAAATACTGAAAATCCGGGTCCAAATCCACCATTCTCAACCGCACGGCTTGTAAATAACGCTCTAAGACGGAGATGTCTCCTGAGTAGTCTGGAAGTTTATTTTAAAGGCGCATATCTCTAAAAGGGGCGGAGCTAACTAAACTTTGTTAACTATGAAAATGTAGAAAATTAAATTTTACACATGTTATCAGTTGACAACTTTTTGATAGCATTTTTAGTTTCTGAGTTATAAGTTTTTAAGTTATGGGCACTGTAGAACTGGCGGTCTAAGGCGCCTCGAAATTTAAAGGCGCATAATTCATAAACTACAATTGCTATTAAAAAGAATTAAAATACAAAAATGTGTAAAACTTCATAAGCTACAAAATCGTAGTTGGTAATTTTTGATAACGTTTTTAGTTTCTGAGTTATGCGCCTTTAAAGTTAAAGCGCCCTTCAGAGCTTACCTACCCCCGCCCAAGGGGCGCCTCTAACCTTAAAGGCGCATATCTCAAAAACCTAAAAAGCTATTAACAAAAGAAAAAATACCAAAATGTGTAAAATTTTATAAGCTACAAAATTGTAGTTGGTAACTTTTGAGTAGCATTCTTAGTTTTCGAGTTATGCGCATTTAAAGTGAAAAGCGCCCTTCAACGCCTGCCTACCCCCACCAAAGAGCGCCCCCAACTTTAAAAGCGCATATCTCAAAAAGGGGCGGAGCTAACAACTTTTTGTTAACTATGAAAATGTAGGAACATAAATTTCACACATTATGTTAGTTTAAAACTTCTTTATAATTTTGCTGCTTTTTAATTTATGCGCCTTTAAAGTTAAAGCGTCCTTTAGCGCTTACCTACCCCCGCTCAAGGGGCGCCTTTAACTTTAAAAGCGCATAACTCATAAATCACAATTACTATCAAAAATAAGTAAACTACAAAAATTTGTAAAATTTTATAAGCTACAAATTTATAGTTAACAACTTTTTAATGGCTCTTTTAGTTTTTGAGTTATGCGTCTTGTAATCTAGCCTCACCATCATCATTGGTTCGGTTGATGCAGTTCCCATCAGTGTTAGAACTCGAGGGGTCCATTTCAGGAGCTGGAAATAGCCGAAAAATGGATTTTAAAGCTTTTTAGTCAATCTCAGAAAGCAAAAATGCACATTTTCGAAAATGTGATCTCTCTGGTTTCCATGGAAACCGGAAAAGAGAAAAATGTGTAAATATCTATTTAGAGAAAAACATGAGAAATTTGGGATAATTGTATGTTGTAGAAATCTAAAAATTAGAAGGATTGTAAATCTAAAAAAGTGCTGAAAATTCGGAAAAATTGAAGAAAAATATTCATATTTGCTGAAAAACAGAAAAAAAATCCTGAAAAATCTGTAAATCCAAGAGATTAGAAATTCCTTATTTTGCAGTAAACAAGATTTTTTCAGCGGAAAATTTGAAATGGGATCGGGAAGATCAGCTGGTGATTTCTGAAAAAAAACGTCGAATTTCTGATATTCTGGAAATCTGAAAATTAAAAAATCTGTAATTTCTAAATTCCCCATTAATCGAATTTTTGGATTTTCGAGTTTCTGAAATTCAAAATTTTTGAATTTTTTAGATTTTTTATCTGACCAGCACGAATCTGAAAATTCTGAAACTTTTAAAAAAATTGTAATTTTGAAATGTTCTGTATTTTCTCCGATATTTCATTCTCCAAGGAAACCGGATTATTGTACTTTCAACCGATTTCTGATTATGGAATTTGTACTTTTATGATAACAGAAAAAAAAACTTGTTCCAGGTTTTCTGAAGACGTCATTATTCTAGCGTCTTCTGAATTCTGAGAAGACGTTATAAGATTTAGGGTCATTTCTTCCTCATTTTCTTTTGATGTTCGATGATTGTTCGGTGAAAAAAACGACAGTGAAAAAGAGGAAAAAAAAGGGAAAATAGGAAAAAACGAGTTTTTTTTTCCGTAGCGAAAAATCAGAGATTAGATAAAAAGGAAAATTTGAAAATACGGAAATAAATGTTGCGAAATTGAAATTCCGAGACAACTTATTGAAAACTTCAGATTTTCAGATTTTGGAAAATCCCAAAAAATTCAAAAATTGAGAAATTCAGATTTCCAGCAATCCACCGTTTCGAAGTTTAAAAAATTTAGGAAATCTTAAAATTTAAGAAACCTCAGAATTACGGATGTTTCGAAATCAAGAAAGTTCATCAATGTAAAAAAATCTGAAATTTTGATTTTCAGCTTATCACAAACTCAGAATTCTGGAAATTCCAAAAATCGAAAATCCCCAATTTTGATATTTTCAGACTTTCAAATTTCCAAAATCGACTGAATCAGAGTTTTCGATTTTCATAGTTTCAGAAGTTCCAAAAAGCAGAAAATCCGAAATTTTTACAAATCTGGGAATCCTACAAAATCGAACATTCCAAGTTTTCAAATTTGCAGATTCTCAGATTCTCAGAATTTCCAGAAAGTCAGAATTCCTTATTACAAAATTCAAGAATTCCAAATTTTGCAGATTCTCAACTTCACATTTTCATTCTTAGAATCAAAATTTTCCAGTTTTTGAAAAATTTATCCCTTTTTCCAAGTTCCCCAAAAAGCGGTCCAGATATTTCTTTAAAAAAGAAAAACCAGATAATTATCATTAATCATCCAATTAGCCCAATAATGTTATCTATGAAATCCTATATTTTTCCGATTTTTCCCATAAATCGGGCCTAGATAATTACCCTAATTACCCTAATTATCCCAAAAAGATATTTTCTTATCATATCCTTTCATCCCCATAAATGATAATAACTTTTTCTCTCATCACTCCCAATTTTTCCCATAAATCCGACCTAGATGATTACTAATTATGCCTAAAATCCCTTATCATTTATTTTTATCTCCAATAAAAGATAATAATTCTCTTTCTAATCACAATTAATCGTCGCTTGGGGGGAAATTGGAATACATAAAAATTCCAAAGAAGACAAAAAAGACAAAAAGAGAAGGAAAACTTTTTTACGCGCTGATTTTTTTCGATTTTTTTCTTCCTTTTCCTCTTCAGCCGGACCGGCAGATAGCAAGTTTTTTTTGCCAATCCCCCCCCCCCTCACTAAAAGGGCGAGGCCTCGGGAAGCTTCTCCCTAACCATCTACCCTCCACCCCACCCCAAACCCTCTATATAAGAATTCAGAAGACGTCAGACACCTTCAGACATCCGAAATGTCAACAATCGGTTATATTGGAGCTTCCCTGTGCCTTGTAGGAGTTCTCTCATCCCTATTCTCAATCTCTCACATCGTTTCTGACATCAATTCTCTTCGTTCCGAAGTTGAAGGTCGTGTCGATGAGTTTAAGGTTCTTGCCGATGACACGTGGCAACGTCTTCTGATCCTCCAATCTCCAACTGGGGAAACCGAGAATGTGATGCCCTCGATCTTCCGTTCCAAGAGATTCGTCTACCCAGGAATGTGCAACTGCGACAGCAACTCTCAAGGATGTCCAGCAGGACCACCAGGACCACCAGGACTTCCAGGAAAGCGTGGAGACGAAGGACAGCCAGGAGACCTCGGAAGAACTGGAGCCACTGGAATCTCTCTCGCTGCCGTGCACCATATTCCAGGAGGATGTATCCAATGCCCAGCCGGACCAGCCGGACCACCAGGACCACAAGGACCAGTTGGAAATCAAGGGTTCCCAGGAGTGGTCGGACCATGTGGACCATCTGGAGACGATGGACAGCCAGGACCACAAGGAGTTCAGGGAGATAAGGGAGCGCAAGGACCAAAAGGCTTCGATGGAGCTGATGGACCAGATGGTATGCCAGGAACCGCTTACTTCCCAGGAGCACAAGGACAGCCAGGAGAGCCAGGATGGTTGGGACACCCGGGACTTCCAGGAAAGCATGGAGAGCCAGGACAGGATGGAGAGGAAGGACCAAAGGGAGCACCAGGAACACCGGGAGCCAATGGAAGAGATGCCTATCCAGGACAACCAGGAAAGGCTGGAGAGCCAGGAAGTGTTGGTGAGTGATTCGGAATTTTTGAATACGACAAAAAATTTCTTATGCGCCTTTAAATCTTGTAGTTGCCAAGAGCCCTAAACTTCAAAAGCGCATATCTCAAAAACCAAAATAGCTATCAATAGGTGCTAAATTACAAAAATGTAGCTTACCAAATTTTGCACATTTTTTGTAATTTATATATTTTTGATAGCATTTGTGGTTTTTGAGTTATGCGCCTTTAAAGTTAAAGGAGTCCTTCAGCGCCTGCCTACCACAGCGCCTAAGGGCGTCTCTTACTGTGAAGGGGCATATCTCAAAAACCGTAACTTCTATAAAAAAAGGTTAACTAGAAAAATGTAGAAAACAAAATTTCCTTCTCAAATATGCCTATTTTTCCAGGAAAGGACGCCAACTACTGTCCATGCCCAGCCCGCCGCGATTCCAAGACCGAATCCGTCCACGAGCCACCAGCAGCCTCCCAAAATGGAGGATACAGAAAGGCCAAGAGACACTAAACAGTGGAAATGTTATTTATTTTTGTTTTTTCTGCATAATGAAGCTATTTTTGTTTCAAATTAAATGTTCAAAAAACAAAAAAAAAGGAAAAACCTAGGCGGGGGGGGGGTTGAACCAAAGACCTTCCACTTAATAGCCGGCAGTGTACACCATAAGGCCATCTGAGCACAATTAGAAAAAGGGAGAGAATTCAATTATAATATGGGGGGCGCGTGAAAAATTAGAGGAATTTCAACAAAAATCATTCACGTTTTGGAAAAAGTATTATTTAAAAAGTGAAAAAATTGTCCGAAGAGATGTGAATCTCACTGGAGTTTTCGTATATAAGGGAATGGAGAAACAGTGAGAATCAGTCAGTTCTCCAGCTTCGGGTGGAGAGCTGGGGCTCTTGGAGCTTGGGCTGCTAGAGTCGGAGCTGGGTCCTGGGTCCTGAAACTGGAGCTATTGGAACTGGAGGTTATGGTCCTGAAGCTGAAATTGGAGTAGCTGGAACAGAGGTGTAGCTCGAAATGGATATTCAGGCGGAGTCGGAGCTGGAGTCACATCTGGAAGTGGAACTGGAGCAGCTGGTGGAGGAGGAGCCGGAGGACAGATCTCGGAACGCATCGACAACTTCATAACTAAGCTCGATGATTCCACTGGAGTATTTTCAACATTTCGGGTTCTATACAAGTAAGTAATTGAGGATTTATTATATAGATTTATCATTCTTCGCGTTTCAGATAAGCGGAAAAAAAAGAAACTGAACCAAAGTGTACTGTAGCTTTGGAAAAGACAACCAGTGGACCCCCAGACTACAGTCCCCATGTGAAAAATTATGGCTTTGGAACAAGATTATTTGTAATGATTATTTGTACAAGAACAAGTTGAATTTGGATTACTAGAATGAAAATTCGAATATATTTGTATATAATTTTTTGTATCTATTTGTTGCTATCCTTTTCAGATCTGAAAAATATAAAGATTTTAAACTCATTTTATTCAACTTTGTTGAAGTTCAACAAAACTTTTTCAGCTAATGCTTACGGAAAGGCTCATAACTCGGCTGAAAAACGGATTCTTGCACGAATTAAATTGTAAAATTTAGGAATTGAAAAGAGCTACAAAATGGTATAAAATTCGCTTGTAGCCATATATCAAGTCCCAGACCAGAGGTCATCAATCAGTTACGCCAAGCCCATCCGGTAAGCGCAGGATCGGCTGTTTTACGACGTCTAGTTCAAATCGCATTGACACAAAACAATTGAATTATGTACAGTTTTGTAGACCTTCTCAAGTTCTACATTCTCCTTTTTAATTCATACATTAATTCCAATTTCGAGCCGAGTTATGCGCCATCCACCATTCAAATGACACACTTCCCAAAAAATTAGTACCCACATGGAATTCAAAAGTTCATAACAACGTATCAACGCTAGATGTTTTGTACGAATTAAATATCAAAATGTAGAACTTAAAAAGAGCTACAGAGTGGTATTAAATTCAACTATATTGGATCAGCGAGCTTCAAAACAAAAATTGTCAAACAGCCAGACCGTCAAAATTTGTTACCATGTGTCCTACTGTTTTTACACTTTGTTAAAACAACCTTTAGCTCGAAGCTCAACATTCAAAAATAGCCAATTTTTATACCATTTTGTAGATCTTTTCAATTTCTACAATTTACTTTTTTTTCAGACAAATATTCTCATTTTGATAGGAGTTATGCGCCATCCATTATCCCCTGATTCAAATGACACCCTTCTCATGAACTATATACCCACCATCCTTGCGCGGCGCGTAACTTGGCTCAAAGCTAGAATTTATGTACGAATTAAATATCCAAATGTAGAACATAAAAAGAGCTACAACGTAGTTATTAATTCAACTATACTCGTGTTTAGGGTTTCGAACTAGAGGTTGTCAAACTGTTGGACCTAGTCAAATCGGCTAAAGCCCGCCTGGATGTATCACGACTTCTGGTTCTGAACCCAATTTTCAATATGATCGACTTATGTATCATTTTATAGGCCTTTTTAAGAACTATATATTGCTTTTTAATTCATACAGATATTCTAATTTTGAGACGAGTTATACGCCATCCATTACCACCTAGTCCAAATTACACTTTTAGTACCCCTTAGGAGGGTTTAGCACCCCCTAGGACCCCCAACCAACTGTCCAACATTGTATGGCTTAAGATTTACAACGTCTTCTATCTCCAGATGACGTATCTGCAGATGACGTCATGGTGACCCCCAACCGAGGGGACTGTTTGTTCTCTTCTCCCCGGACCATCAATCTACAGTTTTTTGTATCCCCTGACCACTTTTTTGTATGTACCTTGATCACAGTCTCCTTTACAATTTCAACGACAAATGGATCTTTTGTCTGCGTCTCTCGTGTATTGCGTACTATTTCTTGTGTTCGTAGGGTAAGTAGTAAGGGTAATCTGTGTAGGACTAGAAGGGACATCTGGGTAGACATAGTGGTGGAAGTTATTTTTATTGAAAATAGCCGTCAACTTTGAGCTCAAATATCTCCATTTCTATAAAAGGTATCAAAATTTTGTCAACTGATAGAATATTGGTGATATTCTGATAAACAGTTTAACAGTTGACAAATTTTTGATATCTTTCCCAGGAATCGAGATAATTGAGCTCAAAGGTGAAGGTTTGGGTGGGCTTCTATAAGAGGAAACATGGTACATGTAATGGAGCATAACTTAGCTCAAAAGGGGAATTTCTATTTGAAAAAAAAAGTAGAGAACTTGAAAAGATTTACAAAATGGTCAATAATTCGACGATATTGGATTGTTCGACTTACAAGAAGATCACTCCTAATGAGTCACTCCTAATGAGTCTTCCTCTTACCACAACACCACACAACCGATGTTTTTCCCTGGCGTGGAGGGCGTATAGGAGAGAGGGGCGTAGTGAAGAGAAGGAGAGGGCGAAATCGACCGAAAAATTTCAGACGAAGATTTTCAGCTTGTTGATGATACTATGACCTAGATTTTTTTGTCATCGTGTTGCGGATAATTCAAACTATCAGTACTGAAATTTTTAGCAAATTCTCAACGCTGTCTGAAAACACTTCCCTTGTTAGAAGTAGGGAGCTCTGAAACATCCTCATCAGCGGCAGCGGCCCGGGTTGCGCCGACTCGACTCTTTTGCGATAACTGGCTCAAACATCCAGTTTTTGAGTAGTTGAATTTCGTATCATTTCGTAACTTTTTTTCAAGATCTACATTTTACTTATAGATTCAAACAAAATTTTACAGCTTGAGTTACGCACCGCGCCAATTTTGACCACGAACTTTAGCAATTTTTTTCCGACCCGACAGTTTGAAGGTCCCTAGCTCAAACTGAGAGATTCCATATAGTTGATTTTATAACCATGTTCTAGCTTATTTCAATTCAAGATTATGCGATTTTATTGGAACAAAAAATTCCAAATTTGAGCCAAGTTATGAAAGCACGATCTTCTGAAACTAACTTCAGGAAAATTTGACCTACCGATTCGACCTCTAATCCAAAACTCAAGGTTAAAATATAGTTAAATTTTGAATCATTTTGTAGCCCTTCTCAAATCTCATATTTAACTTTTTGAATTGAACAGAGTTTCCAATTCGGAGCAGAGTTATGCGCCGTGCAATTATAGTGGTCCCTCTCAAATGTGTCATTTATATCGAGTGGTAATGAATAGCACATAACTCGGCTCAAAAATGGAATTCCTGTTTGAGTCAAACAGTAAAATGTAGAACTTGAAGAGATCTATAAAATGAAATATAATTCAGTTATATTCGAATGTTGAGTTTTGAACTAGAGGTTGTAAAACCCCCGAGTCGGCAGAACCATCCCGGTTAGAGGCCTGTCTCATTTGCTGTCTTTCGTAAAAACTCGCTAATCCACTATAAATAAATTTTGTATCGGTTTTTAGCTTTTTTCAAATCCTACATTTTAACTTTTAATTCAAATAAAAATTCCAAATTTCAACAGAGTTATGTCCCATGCAATTATGGTCCCTTTTTGAGCCCTCTACCCTGGGCTCTGGGGGACCCGAACACCCCACGGAGATAAGCACCCCGTAATGTTTGTTTCATTTCTCTTTCTCACTACGTAAGAAGAATTATCCAAATTCGAATTTCTGTTTGATTCGATAAATAAAATGTAGAACTTGAAAAAATCTACAATATGATTTTTATTTCAACTACACTTGAAAATCTAGATTTAAATATAGAAGGCGTGAAGCATGAGCGACATCGGCGCGGGTTCCACTGGCTCGGCTCTTCTCCGATCTCTAGTTCAAAACTCGGCAACCAAATCTAGTTGAGTCATACATCATTTTGTACCCTTTTTTGAGTCTTACATTATACATTTTAGATCAAATAAGAATTCCAATTTTGAGCCGAGTTATGCGCCGTGCAAGTATGGTCCCTTTTTGCACCCCTACCCTGGACACCCCGAGACCCGACTGTTTGACGGCTTCTATTCCAAAACTCAACATTCTAATAAAATTGAATTAAGTATCATTTAGTAGATCTTTTAAAATCCTACCATTTGCTTTTTGAATCAAACTGAAATTCCAATTTTGAGGCAAGTTATGTCCCATGCAATTGTGGTCCCTTTTTGAGCCCTCTACCCTGGGCCCTGGGGGACCCGAACACCCCACGGAGATAAGCACCCCGTAATGTTTGTTCCATTTCTCTTTCTCACTACGTAAGAAGAACCAATAGAACACCTCATCACGTGGATTGCACCGTTCTCCTTTTGAATGACAGTATCCTCTCTCTGTTCGAAGGAGATGAGAATGGATTAATGGGAGAGAGAGGGAGAGTGAGAGATGGTGCTATTGAGATTAGGTAATGGTATGGGAAAGGTAGTCATTGGTGTTTCGATGAATACATTCAGATAATGTAAGCAGGGGAATGAATGGAGGGAATTTGAATTTGAAAAAAGAAGGAATGGAGGATAAGGGTCTAGGGTCTAGGAGCTAGGAGCTAGGAGCTAGGAGCCAGGAGCTAGGGATATATGGATATATGGATATATGGATCTATAGATCTATAGGTCTATGAATTTAGGAATCTAAAGATCGAGAGATCTAGGGATGTTTGCTTGGAAGCCTCTCAAGGAGTAGAGTTTCAAAACGATGACCTAAAATCCAAAATACATGAAAACAACTAGTCCAGTATAATTATGGTTTTGAAGAACGGATTTTGACAGTTTTGAATTAGTTTTCAAATTTAGAGAATGTTGATTTTGAAGCGAATTATGATCATTTCAGACAAATGTGGCCTAGTTTTGGATTCCTAGGCCACACAAAACGACGGTGGTCTCTATGCGCTAACTTTGACTCAATTCATCTCAACTCTGGTAAGAGTTATCAAAGAATGGTTAACTAGTAAAGTGTTGAAAATTTTATAACACATATTTTGTTCATTGACCATTTTTTGAAACCTTTTACAGGAACCGAGTTACATAGGCTTTAAAGGTGGGGGGACAGGAGATTTTTCGTAGTTTTTTTGTAGCTAGAGTATGCATTCTACCGTCACGGTGTACAACGATTAATGTCACTCTGCGTACAGCTGTCGTCCTCGCCTTTATGTATGCAATCGGGCGTGCCCTTTCTCTTTGCCCGCGTGGCTCAGTCGGTAGCGGCGCCGCACCCTCAATCCTCGTCTTCACAAGTTCAACTCCTCGAGGGGCATCTTTGAACGGAATTTCGAGAACATTATTTTTTTCATGTCCCCCCACCTTTAAGCGCATTACATCTGGGTACCCCCGTGAAGCATGTAGATAGAACCTTGCGTTTTTACCCGATTTAGTTTCTGTGAGAGGTATTTTAAAAGTAATCAACTAACAAAATTTTGAAAATTTTATAACAAACCACATTTTTTAAGTTAACCCCTTTCTGTTTCTTTTACACTAACCAAGATGGATTGAGTCAAAGTTACAGGAGTTTACTAGCCTTACGCTCTGGTCCCTAGGCGCTAACTTTGATTGAATTTATCTCGGTTCCTGTAAAAGATATCAAAAAGTCAACAATTAATAAAATGTTGGAAACTTTCTAAGAAACATTTTGTTAGTCGCCCACTTTTTGATACCACTCACAGGAAACGAGATAAATTGAGTCAAAGTTAGAGGAGGGGGCCCAACCTGCTTACGGGTCTTACAGTGGTCCCCCGAACCTCGGTATTTATATAAAAAGTGGTCCATTTCTCACCACAAAACCTTTTCTTATGATATTCACGTGATTCTCCTCATCAGAATACACAGTACACCGTTTTCTGCCTCTCCCAAACACTTGGTCCGTCTCTGTTCTTCCATTGCACACCGCACTAATTTCGTTGACAACGAGTTCTCTGCGTCCCTCCGATTTTTGTACTCTTTCATTTTTCTGTCTTTTTGATCTTAATACGATGGTCTCCCTCTATCCATCATAAATTCTGGTCCCCCCTTTTTGATTTAATGTGTCAAAAAGGACCGTTTGGTTGTGGTTTGAGGTGGGAAGAGGGGGATTAGAAGAGGCGCTACAGTAATCCTGCTAGATTACAATTTTAGGAATTTTTTGAGTGGGATTTTGTAAGAAAGTCTGAATTCTAAATTATCCAAAAAATGTTGGAAATTCTGTAAAATGGAAAACTTCGATTTTCGAAACATCAAAATGAAAAATTTCAAACTAAAAAATTCAGAATTTTTGAAATTTATGCGAATTTGCCAAAAAATGAATTTCGAATTATTGAATTTTAGAATTTATAGATTTTTGGAATTTTTTGGAATTCTTTCAATTTTTAAATTTTTCGAGGTTTTCAGAGTGTTAGAATTTTTAAATTTTCTTCAATTTCTGATTTTTTCAAAATTTCAATATTAAAAACACATTTTTATGAATTCAAAAATCCCAAAAAATTCGAAAATTCAAATATTCAAATATTCAAAAATTTCTGAAAATTCAAAAATCCCAAAAAATTCAAATATTCAAAAGTTCAAAAATTCAAATGAATTTAACAAATGTCGGTCTGTGTGTCTGTGTATCCAAAACTACCAAAAATTTTTTTAAATTCTCCAACTTTCTCAAAAACCTCATTTTCCAAATTCTCAAATTTTAAGATTTTCCAATTTTCTAAAAATCAAAAAATAGGTTTTTTTTTCGAAAAATCCGAAAATTCAAAAACTAACAATCTGGAATTTTTCGAAAAGTGTCTGTCTGTGTGTCTGTGTGTCCAAAACATTTTTCTCCGAAAAATCCAAAAAAAAGCTCAATCTGGAATCATTTATTTACAATTCAATTCATTTCAATTGCTCATCATCAGGGAACATTCTTTTGTAGTCGTGTTGTTTTTTTGATTTTAAATAATAATTAAAAATTTTTGATTCCAAAAATTTGAAAATTTTGATTACTGTAGCAAGGGGATATATAATTAGGGAGTGAGAGATAGTGAGAGGGGGAAAAGAAAAAAAGGGGGAAATGGGAAATGTGATTGGACCATTGAAATGGTAATGGGGAAAGAACTTTTAGCGCGTTTTTGGATTTTTCAAAATTTCAAAATTCACAAAAAAATTTTAAAAATTCCAAAAATTTCGTTTCTACTCGACGATGACGGCATGGGGGTCACCGGGAGGAGAGGGTGGGAGTAAATGGAAATAGTATAGTTTGTAGTTTGTAGTTTGTAGTGTAGTGTGAAAAAACAACAACAACAACTGACAGAACACAACGGTCAATCAACAATGTTTGGGGCGAAAAGGGGCGGGGGCTTGCAAACTCGTTCTATTGAAATTTTCGAATAAGTGTTCAATAGAGCGAGTTTGCCAGAATTGGTACCTAGGAGGTCAAGCCGAGAGTTGGGAGGTGGGAGAGGGGGGGGGTCTATGTACATTTTGGGGGATTTTTCAAAAAATCGTTGAAATGAGCACTAGGAAAAACCAGTGGGAAAAAAAGAGGAGAAAGGGGAATTTCAGAGAAAAAAAAGACCATGAAACGGTTAAAAAAAGGGGGACCCCAAAAGAAAAAAAAGTAATGCTTTGAATTTTGGCAAGTGCGCTCTACCGAACAAAGAGTTCGGTGGGGCGCGCTTGCCAACTTATTGTTCGCCTAGCAACATGTTTAAAGGGGAATTTTGGGGAAAAAAAACCATTTTTGGAATTTGTGGGCGGGGCGGGGCGAGGAGAAGAAAATAGTTGGGCGGCGGCTAACAATATGAACATGAGTATTGATTTGGCGGCTTTCAGATTTTCAGACAAATTTAATTTTTTTTCTTCTTTTTTGGGGAGAGGGATAGAGAGAGAAAGAGAGGTTCAGAGAAACAGAGAGATGCCGGAAACGAGACGATTGTTTTGAGGATCCATTGGTGTTGTTGGTGGCTTATTGTGGAAGTGGCTGGAAATACTAAATTTTAGGATTCTGATAACGTTTTGAGCAATTTAGAGGTTTCCGAATATTTGGGGATCCCAGATTCCAAGGTTCCGAAATCCTCAAATCTCAGGATCTGAAGATCAGAAGCACAGAATTCATAGATCCCAAGATCCCAAACTCCCTGAATCTAGGAACCCATGCTCCTTGAATTCTCAGATCCCTATATCCCTAGATCCCAAGATCCTAAGAACCCAAGAGTCCCAGGATCCAGTAACCTAGTTTTCAAGATTCCAAGATCCTAAGAGTCCAGAGATTTAGGAATCTAAAAATTTTAAGAATCCTAAGAATCCTAAGGATACCATGAACCTAAGAATCGAAGAGTCCCAGAATCGAAAAACCTAGAAACCCAGAAACCCAAGAATCCATGGATCTAGAAATCCAAGATCCGAGGACCAAGGCCCGAGGTTCTTGATCGCTAGATCCTAGGATCCCTAGATCCCTAGATCGCACGTCTCCAATTCTCCAAAACCGTCCACGAAACGCCACTCACTTTCTTATTTCTTCCATTATTCGGATTGTAGAACTGTGCTTGTCCACCCTGTCCGCCAGCCTGTCCTCCTTGTCCACCTTGTCCACCAGCGTTCTGTCCGCCGTACATGTGTGCTCCGTACATATCGTTTCCACCGTTCGCCTGTGGATTTCCACCGCCAACGTGCATACCGCCCATCTGGTTGGCCAACGAGTTGACGTCGTAGTGTTGTTGAGCATAAATGGCTGGTGGGTAGCCATAGTACGATTGATAGACTTGTGGATATTGCATACGTTGGATCATGTCTGGATTGTTGATCGAGTGCTGAAAAAGAGGAGCGTCTGAGTTAAATGGAGCTAATAGTGAAATGTTGCTAAATCACTCACAAATCAGAATGTTAGCCAAAATTAGTAAACTACAAAAATGTAGTGCTTAAAATTTTAGATATATTGTTAGTTGACGATTTCAAAGTAGTGTTGACGGTTAAGAAGATAGACATTGTCTTAGTAAGAGTTACGTGAGCGCACCTAAAGGGGGCGCACTAACTTTAAAGGCGCATATCTCAAAAACTAAGCTAGCTATTAAAAAGCTGTCAACTACAAAACTGTAGCCCTTGAAGTTTTACTTTTTTTTAAACAATTTATTTTTTAGTAGCTTTGATGGTTAGCGAGATATGCGCTTTTAAAACCGACGCGCCCAAGAGCCCATAGCCCTATTGTTGTGTGCGCTATCTTTAAACACTCACATCTCCAAAACTAGGTTAGCTATCAAAATACTTTAAACTATCAAAATGTAGCTCATAAAATATCACACATTTTGCTAGTTAGTTATTTCTGTTAGCGAGATTTAATCTGTTAAAAATGTGCGGGGATTTGGCCCACGGACGACAATAGAGCCTAGGAAGGTCTAAAATTCAAACGCCTGCATCTCTGTCAATTTGTACCGCCTAGCAATGAAAAACATATAAAAATGTAGCAAATTTTGCGCTCTATAAACATGCATTTAACAAATAATGGCTTTGTTACGTTTTAGGCGCTCAATTAAGCTTTAAACTAGGTCATTCTTTTAATTGCTGTTACTAGGGTGGTCTAAAATTCGAACGCTTGTATCTCCGGAAATTGATACCGCGTAGTTAAAAAAATATGCCAAATTGTAGGAAATTTTGCGTTTTACAAGTTCGTGTTTAACAAAAAATGCGTATCTAAAAAGGTTAAAAAGTTATACACGCTAAAAGTAAGCTTAAAGCTTAAACGTTGGCGCAACTTCAAATAGCTGTAACTTGGCTCTTATTGCAGTTATCACAGATTCTAAAAGTGGTCTAAATTGCCTTAAACCTCATTTTCAGCTTCCCCTAAACATGCACTAACCCAAATCACAAAGCTTTGTTGTGGTTGGCCGACGCCACCGCCATGGGCGGCGACGGCACTACGGGCGGTATGTGGACCAACCTTGCTCTTCCTGCCAGTATCGGCTTGTTTGATCAGCAGTGCCGGTCCTTCTTTAGACATGTTCTCAAAGCGTCCACCGTTGAGTGCCGAGATGATCACCTCGCACTTTTCCTTCGAATCCATTCGAGCGAATCCGACGCCGCGAGAATTGTTGTCCGGTGTGCGGAGGATGCGGGTCGAGATGACCATTCCATACTTGTTGAGCTCAGTCTCCAACATTTGTTCGGTGAAATCGATTGGAAGATTGGCAATGTACAAGTTGGTTGGATCCTGCTCTTGTTGTTGAAGCTTTGCCATCTGCGCCTGGACACCTTCAGTGTTCAATCCGTCGACAGCGGCGGCGGCGGCTTGTGGAGACTCAAAATCAACAAAACCGTATCCCTTGCAGTTGTTGGTAGCCTTATCCATAATCGCTTTAGTTGAGGCAATGTTTCCATACTTGGAGCACATCTCACGAAGCGTGTCATCGTTCGTGTTTGGTGCCAATCCACGAATGTAGAGGTTGGTCTGAAATAAGGAACACGGTCAGATTAACGGCACCGATGGATGGATAGGGAATTATATTCTTTTTTCAAAAATCTGAAAATCGGCCGTACAGAACTGGGAGTGGTGGCAAAATTGGACCGATTGTGATGCGGTTGATGGGCATGGTGATGGTGTTGTGGTGGTAGTGTTGAGGTGGGATGAGAGGAATGAGGAGGAGGAGGAAGAGGAGCACGTCGCGAACTCACCGAGCTCAGTGGCGCCGAGTCGTGGTGTTGTTGACCGTCGCGTGGTGCCGTGTAACGACCATAGCCGTTGTTGTTGCCAAACGGACCGTTGGCGCCTCTCATATGGTTTGGTGCACGCTGCAAAAGTTCCAGGAATTAGTTGGATTAGATTGGTTTGAGTATAGGATCCTTGGATCCTAGTCAGGCTGAATAAGGATCTACTCAATTTGATCTATTTATCTTGAATTTGATTCTATACATTCTGAGACTGAAATCAACCCTCAGATGATTTTGATCTACGTCCGGTAAACACTCGCTACCCAAGTCATCAACATTGAGCTCAATTATCTACATTTCTGTGGAAGATATCAAAAATGTGTCAACTGATAAATTGTTCATCATAATATCACCAAAATTTTATCAGTTAACCAATTTTTGATATCTTTTCCAGGAACCGATAATTGAGCTCAAAGTTGACGATATGAGTGGGCTTCTATTAGCTACCCAACCCGCCAACTTTAAGCTCCGTTATCTCGATTACTGTAAGAGATATCAAAACATTGTCAACTGATAAATTGTTTATCTTAATATCACCAACATTTTATCAATTGACAAAATTTTGATATCTCTCATAGGAATCGAGATCATTGAGATCAAAGTTGGTCATCGGATCAGACTGTTGACAGTAAGCCTTTAAGCAACCCTTAATGATCTATCTGAGCCTTACAACCTAACCTAAACCATTTCATCTACCAGCTACTCACCCCATAATACTGGCGTTGTTGATGTTGTTGCTGGTGTTGTGGTGGTCCACCTTGGGGTCCTCCTTGCTGCTGCTGGGGTAGCCCTTGTGGCACCTGTTGTTGTTGTTGTTGCTGTGGCGCGGCGACCGAAGACGTGTTCATTCTTGAAGAAGTGGAATTTTGATTCTGGTTAGAATTGCCAGCAGATTTAGGATGATGATGATTGTTGTACTGATGGTGTTGTTGTTGGTGTGGATGATGGTTGTTAGATTGAGAAGTGGAATTATTCGAGGAAGAGTATCGATGATGTTGTTGGTTTTGGTTTTGATGGTGATATTGATTATTTGGAGGATAGTTGAGTAGGCCACCACCGCCACCTTTCTCGCTTCTCTGGTAGTTGTTCTGTTGTGGGGCAGTTGTAGTCGGAGGCATTTTCAGGAGGAGTTTTCAAACTTTCCAAGAGAAGCCAACTTTTTAAAACTGCCGGCCTGCCTGCAAAACAGGGCACAAAGACAACGGTGAGAAGCAAGATCAGATATTGATCAAGATGGTGAGAGCTAACCATAAAAAAGAAGCAAAAAAAATTGCCAGGGTGGGAGTCGAACCCACGACCTCTTGCCTATAGGGCTAGCGCGCTACCGCCTGAGCCACCGAGGAGCAGGTGGCAGGTTAGCCTTGCATGGCTATGATAAAGGTTGCGCTCTCACCATCTAGAAAAAATATATAGAAAGAGAGAGAGAGAAGAGAAAGAGGCGTAGAAAGAATAGGAAAGTGTGGGGTCCAACTATGGAAATTTTGAGAAAGTTCTAGAACTACTAATCACCAACAACATCATGCAATATACAAAGAAAAATAGAGAGATAGAGAAAAGAGCAGAAAAGGAAGAAAGTTCTAGAAGCCTAGTCACCCAGGATCCCGAGACCAAGAGTTCAGGAGTCCAGAATCCCATGATCCAGAAGCCTAGAATCCCAGAAATATCGAGACCAGGACCCTAGATCCTTAAATCCTAGAATCTAAGGATCCCAAGATCGCAAGATCCAGAAGCCTAGGATGCTAAAATCCGAAAGCCGGAGGTCCATGAATCCAGAAACCCCAGAATCGATGAGCTTAGGATCCTAGAAGCTTTAGATCCTAGAACCTAGAAACCCAAGATCCCAAGATTTCCAGGAACCTCAGAATCTAAGAATCCCAAGATCCCTAGATCCCGAAATTCTAGAATCCAGGAACCCAGGAGTCGCGGATATGATTCCAAGATTCCAAGATTCCCAGAATCCCAATTTCCCTAGATCCAGATTCCCAGAATCCTAATCTTCTAGAAAATCCGAGAACAATGCCAAGTATGATAGATTGTGGTACGTCATCTGGAGATGGATTAGGGTACATATGGTCCTTCAGAAAAATCACCTAGGTGCTAAAATGACAGTGCTAATGACCCCCCTAAATCCATCTACAGACCAAACCAACATGCAGATAGAAGAAAATAATAGAAAAAAAAATCAGACTCACCTTCTTGATAAAGAGGTTAACGGGTTAGATGATACTGTAGGTAGTGTACTGTAGAGGGGAGTTAAGATGAGAGGGAGGTTAAGTGAGGACGACGGTAGATGGGTGTGTCGAAAGCAACGTGCTCTGCAAAATTCAAATTTAGATGACGTTGAAAAAAAGAACACCAACGAAGAAGATAGATAAGATCACGAAAATTTTCGAAAAGACGGAAAAATAAGAGAAAGAAGAAGAAGAAGAAGGCATTCAAAATGACCCAAACAAGGACGCGGATAAAAAATGTGCAGAAAAAGCGAAAGAGTGGGGATTCCGGAGAGACGCAGAGAACAAGGATGAGACCTTGACCGGTGGGGGCGCGGACGCCGTCAACTTTCGAATAGGGGCGGCGCTGTACTGTAGGAGGGTGTACTGTAGAGGGGGGCAAGTTTAAATTTTTGGCTCCAGAGGTGGGTAAGGTTTAGCCCAAAGTGGGTAAGCCTAACCCTAAGATGGGTGAGCTTAAGGTGAGTAAGCCTAAGCCTAAGGGGTGTACTGTAGGGGTAAATTCAATTTTTTTTAGTCAAATGATCCTTATATGGCAAGATAGGCGTAATTTCAAAGCCTGGAGGTAAACCTCAAGGGTACCCTAAGGATTCAATCTTTCGCGCCAAAAATCACAAAAAAAAATTGACCTACCCCTCAGGTACCTAACCTATAATATACACAATCTGAGTCACCTGTATAGTGCAATCTAGCCGCAGCAACAGCCAATACAACGCAACGCAAAAAAAACTTAACGCATCAAAGATCAACCCTTTGGCTGGGTAGGGTGGGGTGTCTTGGGTGAATGAGAGAGGACCCTTCCCGCGCGGGACGAGGCCTCCTCGCCAATAAGCTCCGCCCCCTTGCGCGCGCAACCAAAAAGTGCTGGCTGTGCGATCAAACTATATACAAAAAAAACAATCTAGTGTGGTCCGTTGGATGGTGGTAGTGGACAGAGAGGGGTAGGAGTGAGGGGTTAGAGGACATACTTCCCGCGGGAAGAGAGAGAGCGCGCACATAGGAGGACGGATGGGCGAAAAAAACGCTCACTCGAGGTGGACGGATAGGGAAATGGAGGGAATCGGGTCTCCATGTTACCCCCCCCCCCCCCAAAACTCCCCATCCCGTCAAGGACATACAGTAATAGGGGAAAGGAATTCAATCAACTTTTTGATGGGGGGAAGAAGGGAACATCCCCCTTAGGATCCCCCTTTAGGCTGGGGGTAGCTATCTTTAAATGCGCATATCTCAAAAACCAGGAAAACTCTTAAAAAATGCATACCATAAAACCTGTAATAGAAGTTCCCCCCTGACGTTCAACTTTGAGCCCATTTATCTTGGTTCCTGATAAAGATGTCAAAAATTTGTCAACTAATAAATTGTTGCTGCTATCATGATAAACAATTTATCAGTTGACAAATTTTTGATATCTTTATCAGGAACCGAGATAATTGAGCTTAAAGTTGAAAGTCAGGGGGCACTTCTATTACAGGTTTTACGGTAATTACAAAAATGTAAAGGGTTAAATTTTGCGTATTTTGTTAGTTGACAACTTTTTAGTAACGGTTTTGGTTTTTGAGTTATGCGCCTTTAAAGTTTGCGCACTGTAAGAGGGGTATGATAGGCTAGCTTAGATGTGCAGGTAGGGGTATTGTATCTAGACAAGGATAGGTAAGAGCTAGTTAGGTAGCTAGAGGGGTACCGTAAACTGCTAGGAAAGCTTAGATGTGCAGAAAGCTAGGGGTACTGTACCTAGTCTTCAATTGATAAGGCTACAGTACCCCCGGGCAGTAAGATATGCAGGTTACTCTATGGGGAACCTCCCTAAGCCGCAATTTAGTGATCAGGGAACACCTGTCCCGCCAGGTTTTCGCGCATTCTAGGCTTAAAAAAAACAATTAGGGGGTTAGTCTTTTTTCAAAAATTCAAATTTTGGCGCCAAAATCCCTCTTCAAAGCTCCGCCCCTCTCTTATCACTGATAAGTATTAGCCACGCCCCTAATTTCAAAAAAATTCAAAAAAAATTTTGGCGCCAAAAAAAACTTTTTTTCTATTTTTTTCTCACCACAAATCAATGAGCCAAAAAAAGAAGCATCACGAGTTTTTTCTTTGGCTTCTCTGACACTCTCTTTGTCTTACACACTCTCTCGCCAGGCAAGGGGAAAAAACGAAAACGTTTGGCACACTGCCAAGAGAAAAAAACCAACGAAGGGGCAAAAAGAACGTGTGCGCGCGCGCGGTGACCGAAGCGCGGCAAGATAGTACGGTAGCCAACAGAGACGGCGAGAGAAAGAGAAGTGTGTGGGCGGAGTTTGGCCGAATGCCAAGGCATATGGACACACACATTGCGAGCGCGCGCGGCCCTGTGCTCGTGATCACGAGTTGTTTGTTGCAATGGCCAGAAGGAGAAATAGTGTGTAAATGGGAGAGAGCGGAGGAGCGGTCGTCGATCTCCGAATGTCTGCGTCTCTTCGCTCGACGTCATCTTTTCGGGTGCGACGCGGTCGCGACGCGCGCACGCTGACCGTCAGCGGGATGGATGAGGCAAATTTCCCCCCTTCAGAAATTTGGGGCGGACAGCCAGAGCGGGATGGGATGGGAAAAAAAGAAAGTCTTGGCACAATGCCAAAAAGGGGCGGAGTCTCGCCACCTAGTGAGAAAAAAAGGGCGCCGCTGGCCGCGAGGTCATAAATCAGATGGAAACGGATGCGAAGAAGTTTGAAATTTCAAAAAAAAAAAGAAAATTTAAAGGGACAGACAAATTTTAAACAAATTAGAATTCAAAAATTCAGAAAAGGGCTCTTTTCCCCTTCTGCTCCGTTTTGTGCATCTTTTCCGCTTTCTCCAAAATAGGCCACGCCCCCTTTTTAAGGGGAGGGGCCTCTCTTTTTGGGGTGCCCTTTTTGGAGCACTTAAATTAACGAAAATGGGAATTTTTGAGGATTACTGTAGCCAAGTGTACAGTACTTGGGATTACTGTGCCGATCATACAGTCTCGATGTATACCACATCCCGTATTTCCTACGCCAACTTTGAGCTCAATTATCTCACTTCCCATGAGAGCTATCAAAATTTTGTCAACTGATAAAATGTTGTTGATATTATGATAAACAATTTATCAGTTGACAAAACTTTGATATCTTTTGTAGGAGCCGAGATAATTGAGCTCAACGTTGACAGGGGTTCTATTAGAGAGGGTAGAGAGGGGTACGGTGTGTGAGGAATTTTTAAAAGCTTGAAATTCCGAAATTTTGGCAGTTTCTGCCACAAAAACCTCATCTCATTGAAATTGGGAAGGATTAGTAGAAAACAATTGGTGTCCCACACATACTCAGAAAAAGGGTCCACCCGATGAAAAAAGAAAAATTAAAACGGATAGAGAGTATCCGAGCCCGGAGCCCGGGTCGCATTTCAAAGGGGACTACGACAGGTGGCACTATTCGGCGGATACGTGACTCATTGATTGATTGGAAGAAGAGCTCCTCTAGGGGCGGAAGAAAGATAGAGTGATGGATCTACTAGGGACGGGATAGAACAACACTCTTTGGGCCTTCTTCCTTTAAAGGGACATATCTCTAAAACCAAAAAAGCAATCTGAAAGTGGTTCACTACAAAAATGTAAAGCATAAAATTTTGCAATTTTTGTTAGTTGGTCATTTTTAAAGAGCTTTCTTACTTTTTGAGATATGCGCCTTTAAATATGGGGCACCCAAGTGCCCCTCCCTTTTGTTGCGAGCTGTGTGAAAATAGAAAAAGCTGTTTAAAGGTGGGGGGACATGAAAAAAATAATGTTCTCAAAATTCCGTTCAAAGATGCCCCTCGAGGAGTTGAACTTGTGAGGGCGATGATTGAGGGTGCGGCTCCGCTACCGACTGAGCCACGCGGGCAAAGATAAAGCGCACGCCCGTTTGCATACATAAAGGCGAGGACGACAGCTGTACGCAGAGTGACATTAATCGTTGTACACCTTGACGGTAGAATGCATACTCTAGCTACAAAAAAACTACGAAAAATCTCCTGTCCCCCCACCTTTAAGCGTTATTAACCAAAAAAATAGAGAAACTTTAATGTTACATATTTTGTTAAATGACTACTTTAAGGAAGCCAGTTTGGTTGTTGAGTTATGCGCCTTTAAAGTTCTCGCGCTCTAGGTAATTTTGGAGAGGATCGTAACTTGGTTCAAAATTGGAATTTCTAGATGATTCAAATAGAAAAATGTAGAACTTGACAAGATCTACAATGTAATCTAAAATTTGACTATATTCAAAAAACGAATTTTGAGACCAAAGCCATAAAATGGGTGTGCGCTCATACCGGGCATGTATCGATGGCCCACCGGTGTTTTACAGCCTGTGCTTCAAAGCTCGGCATTCAAATGTAGTCAAATTAAATCTTATTTTATAGATCATTTTAAATTCTACGTTTTACTTTTTAATTCAAACCGAAATTCCAATTTTGCGCTGAGTTATGGACCGAGCAGTAGTCGGACTACGCGATCAACGCCACCGGCAACCCCCGCGACAAACTTTACAGCTCTACAAAACTAGATAATAGTTATTGGAATGTTTTGAAATTTCTAGGTAATACAGAACAAAACTAGAGCTTCATTTTTGTAGTTGACAACTTTTTCCTATCTACAGTAATTTTTGAGATGTGCGCCTTTAAAGCTGGCGCGCATCTCCTTCAGGGGCTCGGCGAAGAGAGACGCATATCTCAAAAACTACGGTAGCTAGAAAAAAGTTGTCAACTACAAAATTGAAGCTCTATTTTTGTTTTGTATTCTCGAAAATTTTCAGACAAAACTAAAAAGTACTACGTTTTTATAGAGTCAAAGTTGACACCCATGTAAAACTAAAATTGTCATTTTGGAACATTTTGCGGAATACTGTAGGAATTCAAAAATTTGAAAAATCCGGAAGTTTCCAAAAGTTTTGAAAATCAGTTTATAAGCTCCGCCCACTTTTCGACATTTCAAATTTCGCGCTCTTCTATTTCTCCAACCATATGTTTTACCTTCCGAATTTCAAAAACTACCTTTTTCCAAAAAATGGGCGGAGCCAATGTACAGGATCCTAAACACATCTGGCGCCCCGCCAAGCGAAAATTCAAATTTTTCTTCGTGACTCATGCAGGTATTTCGGAGAGATTGTAGAAAAAAGAGAGACACCAGAGAAGCAGAGAAAAGAAGGATTTGTCCATCAGCTTTGTTTTTGCAGTTTACAACTTTTTCCTAGCTACCGTAGTTTTTGAGGTATGCGCCTTTAAAGATGGTGCGCCTCGCGCGCCTGCCTGAAAGAGTAGCTCGATTTCTATAAAGGCGCATATCTCAAAAACTACGGTAGTTAGAAAAACGTTGTCAACTACAAAAATGAAGCTCTATATTTGTTCTATAAGGTCTGAAATTTTTAGGTAAACCAAACAAGTACTAAAAAGTTTTCCAGGCACTCAAAGTTGACACTCATTTTTAACTAAAATCGATAGTTTTTACAAACGAAGTCTGGTTACTGTAGTTTTTTGCAGGGTTTTTTGATCTACTATTAACAAAAAATTCTGAAATTTTCTAGAAAAAATGTTGCGAAAAATGGAAAAACGTGGAAAGTTAGTAAAAATGATAATAAAATGACCTGATAAGAAAAAGTACTACACAAGAATGAGTTTTTGTTTGTCAGCTTTTTTTTTGGGGTTGGGAAAATGACCAGGGATTTTTTGGGAGGGAGAGAGAAATAGTATTTTGTTTGAATTTCAAAAATTCAAAAATTCAAAAATTCAAAAATTCAAAAATTCAAAAATTCAAAAATTCAAAAATTCAAAAATTCAAAAATTCAAAAATTCAAAAAATCGAAAATTCAGAAATTCAAAAATTCAAAAATTCAAAAATTCAAAAATTCAAAAATTCAAAAATTCGAAATTTGGAAATTCCGAGATTTTCAAAATTTGAGCATAAAAATTGGATACTTGGTACTGTACAAAAATTTCTGACCATTTATCGAATTGTTTGAAAGTACGTAATTCTCTCTCTCTCTCTCTCTCTCTCTCTCTCTCTCTCTCTCTCATTTCCTTCCGCTTCCTATCTTCTTATCATTATTATTTTTCGTCACTAAATTCTCCATTCTTATCATTTCTCTCTTTATTTGACCATCGACCAATACACGCTTCATTGACAAAACTAGGTTAGGATATTTGTGTTAAAAGAGAGAGAGAGAGAGAGAGAGAGAGAGAGAGAGAGAGAGAGAAAAGTAAAATACAAAAGCGCAAAAAGATCACATTTTTGAGGTTGGCGCGGATGACCTTTTTGATATATGGAGGTGACACACAAAAAATAATAAATACAGTAACCAAAAAAGGGACGCTGATCTATAAACTACACTATGACATAAAGGTTCATAACTCGCTTCAAAGTTTAGCTATAAAAATGTCAAAATGTGCAAAAGTAGATCTTGAGAAGGACTACAAAATGGTATAAAACATATATAGTTGAAAATATACTATGTTTGAAAAAGGGATTAAAAAGGTTTCGTTGTCCCTGTTTATCTCGGTTTTTGTAAGAGATATCGCAAAGTTATCAACTGATAAAATGTTAAGCATAAAACAACCAACATTTTATCAGTTGACACATTTCTATAGGGACAAAGATAAAGGGGCTCAAAGGTAAGAGCGTGATAAGCATAAATGCAACCGGCCAACCGATGGAGAGGCTCATAACTCGCTTCAAAATATAACTTTTTATTTGAATTAAAAAGTAAAGTATAGATATTAAGAAGAGCTACAAATTGATATAAAACATGACTAGTTTAAAATGTGACATCTTTAAAAAGGAGTCGACAAAAGACGGAACAAGAGAAGGATCGCCCACTGTCCGCCCCAAGGAGTCCGCCAAATTTGACCCCATTTATCTCGGTTCCTGTGAGAGATATCAAAAAGTGGTCAACTGATAGAATGTTAAGCATAATACAGCACATATTTTATTAGTTGACATGTTTTTGATATCTTTTACAGAAAATAAGATAAATCAATGCGAAGTGGAGTGTGTGAAGACAACAAAAACACTAACTTTTCCAATGGGAAACTCCGCCCCTTTTTTGTATAACATGCTTCTTTGAAGGTCATCAAATGGATCTAAAAATCTAGAAAAAAAAACAAATTTGAAAGCTCCAGTTTTTTCAGGATTACTGTAAATCTGAAATTTGAGAAATTAGAGAAAAATATTCAAGCATTTTTCATTTATTTCACTAATAAGTTCCAAAAATTTAAAGGTGGTGTACGGGGCCCAGTATCCAAGGGTACATCGAAAAAGGGTACATCGAGTTCTAAGGGTACATTGGTTCCAAGGGTACATTGGATTGTTCGGTACATGTAGGTGGACAAAAAAAGTAAATCAATATTTTTATACATACTATTTTGATTTCTGCTCAAAATTATAGGTTTAGGCGGAAACGCCTTA